AAGAAATCTTTTAAAGAAGAGTTTATGCAGAGAAGGGAATAAACCAATATTAATACAAATAAATAAATACAGGATTGTTCTACAAAACATTGTTTGTTTAGCGAGTTGTATGTGTTGCTTAATCAAATATTTTCTGACCTGTCTTCAAACTTACTTCCAACTTTGTTTTCTTGGCCAAAAACAAACAACTTTTCCAATTTATAAACCTTTTAAGAATCAGCATTGTACAGTACCTTTGTCGTGGTCTACTCTAATAGCCTTTAAACCAACATCCATCCATTATCTATACCGCTTATTCCCAGTGGAGTCACAGGGGGGCTGGAACCTATCCCAGGTGACATTGGGTGTGAGGCGGGGTACACCCTGGACAGGTCACCAGCCCATCACAGGGCCACACAGGGACACTTTAAATCAATAATAAAAACAAAAATATAAATAATTCCATATTAAGCTGATCATCATTTGTCTTTGATAAGAATCAGAGACAGTCAACCTTTGCCTGCAAACTGTCTCTGATAAGTAAAGAATAGGAGTTAATAAACGTGTCACTTTTATTTCTTCATTTATTTTATATACGTGCTGGATTTAATTAAAATACAGCATCAATAAAAACATTTTTTAAAGTTTATACACACGTTTCCATACATTTTCAATGAGTGGGTGTGTCCAAATTTTGACTGACAGTATAGTTAGAACCCAAAACTTCAAACTTTAGCAATATTATCAACAAGTACACCTAATGTTACTGTTTTTTGGATAGTGGGAGGAAGCCAGAGAGGAGCCCACACATTCACAGGAACGACATAAACCATAATGCAATCGAATCAAATTAATTAAATATCCAAACTACTCCGGTTCATACAATGTTGTGTTTACACGTATATATAAAGAATGTTGTTTGCACTTTCAGCACCCAGCAAAACTTGCAAAATCAAATCATTGGGTGCACCCATGTAACAACATACAAGAACCCGTTGGATGTTTTAAAATGAGATAATGATTAAATGCCTTGTTGATTTGTTGCTCGTTTCTCAGAGAAGATTGTATATCTCAAGGAAATTACACATCATTTAACTTTTACCTAATAAAGATTATCTCCCTGTGGTAGAAACATTAATAAACATTAGTGTAGGTGGATAGCTAATGAAAATTATTAATGATAGACACTCTTTTTTTTGCCCCTGTACAGGAAAAGTCTGTCTTAGCTCATTTACTGAGCAGGCACTATGGTGGGAAAGGAGATCAGCAAGAGAACAAATAAATTGTTGAAAGAATGCTACTGTCATGCAAGTTTATATCAACATAACCTTCAGTGCTCCAGTCCAGCCTTTCATTAGTTCACACCAAATGACCAAGAAGAGTTATCGAATGATAAAGAATATAGTCCCCAATGTGGGTATTCTCAAGTAGTTACCAATGTATATTTCACATTTTCATAGACAGTGACCTGAATAATTGAATGGATTCCTCTTTAAGCCATGCTTTTGTTCTCCAATAAGAAATCTGAATTAACCACGGATGGTTATTGTATACTCTCATAGTGAGAGAAAAAACAAACAGCAGTGATCAACACATTTGCTTCAAAGAAATGATGTCAAGAGCATACCAGCACCCACTATAGAATAAAAAATTGGATGTATTTAAGTTTAGACATTTTTTTATATGTGTCAACATGTTTTCTATTTGTCATCATTAATGGCATGATGCGATTGTGGAGGGCAAAAAGTCCCATTTCCTGTTATTTGGATGGTGTTAAAGGCTAGAGAAAATTGCATCTAATTTTCTCTTGCCATCTCATCTACAAACAGAACTATCACACACCATTGAATGTAATGAAAATGTGCTCTAATGTGTCTGCCACAGGGTAGGATTGCCCCTCCTTATTCAAAATGCGTTGAAAACATTGTCCATTTCTTACTTTGGGCCTTTAAATACAATGTTTTTGCTGCCTTTTAACTTATTATCCCATTTTCAAATAATGTTGGGAAGTCAATGTTCCTGCTGTTTTTGCTGATGAAAAAGAAACTATTAAAGCATGTTCAAATTTTAGGGGGGGGCACATGATGTGTTGTCCTTAAACTTAACTCACAAGCCACGGTATCCATGGTAGCATCAGAGACCATGTTTACTGTAAATCTACCATCAGAACAATCAACTTAAGACCTGCATGTTCAAGTCTACTACCCGCAGGGGAAGGCATCCCCTTAGATCACATTTTAAATGCTAACTAAACCAACCACTTTTTTAGTACCATGTGCTTTTCATGAAAGGGTTTGGCTATTGTCATAATAAAACTTTAAGATGGAAAGTTTTTGAAGCTTTACAAAACACTGTTGAGCTCCTATGGAAAATTTATAGAACAGAAGGACCAAATTATCATCTTGCCTAAAGTATGACTATAATGGTTATATTGTAGTGCATTTCATTCAGATTAGACCCACTTTTAGATATAGAGGTGGCTCAGGGTCAATGTGTAGAAAAAGCTATACAGTCATCTCGTCTCTAGTTCTCCTTATAATTTAGCAGTGGTCGGAGGGCCTGCTACTTAGTGACCTGCAACCATAAGTCTCATCTTTTGTATTTATCAATTTACGAATAAAAACTGAAAGGTCAAATCAGCCCCAAATTATATAGATCACTCTTAATCTAAAGCCACATTCAGATTTTCAGCTTAAAATTTTCTGAGGAATATTCTGCACAGGTGTGTTATGGTTTACATGTGCTGTGACAAAATATGTGGAGCCAACACACACATCATATGAATTTACTAAAGTAAAATTGACAAGAAATGTTTGTGTTCTATGCTATACTGTCAAAATACAACAATTCATTTCAGCCTAGATCTTTGTTACCTGCCTGCTCCATACAAAATGTTTTCACAAATCCTCCTTTCTATCTGGTTATCTGGCTTTTAGTAACTGGCCCCACAAATGGTGAGCTCTCAAAGCAGCACTCTAAGCAGCACTACACAAATCCACAAATCAACCCATGTTTTTTCCCTCTGGACATGCCCATGTTCAAATAAAATGGGTGAGGATGTCGTCAATGATCAATAATAATTCAATCAAACTGGAAGACATTGCTGTATATTCAGACACCATGAAATATTTTGAAAAGGAAATGCATTGATGGTGGTAATCAGATGCTTCTATAAGATTTAAACATAATATTAAGAATTAGACAAATTCATATACGGTATAGGATTAAAATGTATAATACACGTTTTGTCTCTCAAGCTGCTGTGTAGAATCTTAGCTTTCCAGTGTGTGTTACCATGGTAATACATGTTGGTAAGAAGTGAACCGATTTGTGACAGTAAAAACCTGGAGGTGGCAGAGGTAGTTAGGGCTCAGGAGGAAAAGAAGTTGTCTGGGGAGTAATTGTCTACTGACCTGAACATCCCATTCCTCCCAATGTAATCCCCAGCTGTGAATGTCAGTGTGAATGGTTGAGGACCAGGTAGTATAAAAGAGCTTTGAGTGGTCACTTTGACTAGAAAAGTGCCATGTAAGTACTGTTCGTTTACCATTTATTGAAGCTGGAGTCGACCTCTCCAGGGTGTACCCCGCCTCTCAGCCATTGTCAGCTGGGATGGATAGAGCTGAAGTTTTGGTTATTTCTCTAAGCAACTGAACCTGTTCTGGTGAGCAGGTTAAGCAATCTTGTAAAAATATATGCTTATACCAGACACATCTTATCAGAATTATATCATTTTAAATTAACTCAATTGAATGCGTAATGCTTTGTCTCTGTATGGCACTGTAATATTCCCAGGTAGTACATCACCTCTTGTTCCATGACAGCTTGGATAAGATCCAGCCCTGTCAACCAGAACTGGATTACGAAGGTAAAGAAAATGGGTGGAAAATGTCTACGTATTTAAATATTTCATCACTAAGCAGTGTAAAATGATGGGACAGGAGTGCCAACTTGTGAGATAGACTCCCCATTAGACTTGCACTTGGTTATTTATCGTGTTGATTGTAAGGTGTATGCCAGAATTTTAAAGAAATGGAAAGTGGTAAAGCAGCAAAAAATCAATGAATTACCTGTCCAGAAATGTGCTTGAAGTGAGAAAATTTTTAGATAAACTGAGTTCTTTGGTTCACATTCTTACACACTGTGAATCATCTGTCCACCCATAATATATATCTGTTTAATCCAATTCAGTATAATGGTGGGCGGGAATTTACCACAGTTATTTTGGGGTAAAAGGAGACCAAGACACAGACAATCATACATATTTTTTTGTAAATAGATAAATTGTTGGTATAATTCTTTTTTTATCAAGCCGATCCCAGAAATTATTTTATAGTACATGCCAGATTCACCCATTCCTCATGCAGAATATATTATATATAGATTTTTCCATAATCTATCACAAATACTTTAGGACGACATCCTATGGATTTAGTTTTTTAGTAGAGGAGCAATTTCATCATATGGTATGAGTATGGCGAATAAATCCATAAGAAAATTAAAAATGTTCAATAAAAAGCCATTTCAAAAGCTCTTTTATACCAGATAAGGTCATTTACCACCAATTAAGGTAAACAAAACACTGGAGTGAACCTTTTTTCAAGTTATTTCCCCCTAATGACTGCTACTGTAGAGATCACTTTGTCCCGTTAAGGTCTACTCAGAGAGTACAGAAATACAGTATACATTGAGGGGAATGTACTATAGTCCACGAAGCAAAACATAAACTACGGCAGTAAATTCAAGATGAAATATTAATTTATTTTTATTTCAAGTTCTTCGATAAAAATACTTCTGAATTCCATTTGAAAACAGCAACTTTCACGAGGAAGGTTGACGGCTTTTGCCTGAACTTCTTCAATCATTTCCGGATTACCATATGGGTTAAAGACCTATGTGACGTAACTCTATAAGCGGTCAAATATTGGCTGGTGGAACTAGAGGGGGCGGGACATGTCGTCTATCATTGGATAGACTTTTAAATCTCCTCGCTATGATTGGCCAGAAGCTTTGATTTTCAATTGGACGATTTCGTGAGCATAGAATTTGAAAGTCGGCGTCTTGTGTTCAGAACTAACCAGCTATTGTGCCAAGTAGGAAGACGAAGATATAGCGTATCAAAAGTTACTAGGTAAGGGGAAGACTCGTTCAAGTCTCATATTTAGATAGCACACTAAGCAGTCAGAATGAAACGATGTTTGTGAAGTGTAAATTGAGTTCAGCTCCGCCTGCTTGCTAGGGTTTCGCATTCTACGAACAGTAATAATTGACCAGTGTATATCAATAGCTGATAAAATTAGAGCATTTTTTCAATCTTAAATTTGTCGTTGTTGTCCTGCATAGAGGTGCTGTGATGTTGTCCGGGGAGGACGGTGCTCAGATTCAGTGTTCTGTGACGGTGGAGCATCTGACCAGCTGCGGCCAGGCATCTCGAAGGCAGGTCATCCGCAAAGCATCCGTTATCCTAGGCCGTAACGAATTCCAGGAGATTATCCTCAGAGTGCACGATGGAAAGGTGCCTCAAAGTTACCCTCTTAAAGACTTCCAGCTTTTCACCAAGTTCGTCGGCGAAGGAAAGTGCACCGTGAAGCTGCTCCCCACAAACGTCCAGGTGCTGGTGTCCAACTGTCCGCCCGAACAGCTGAAGCTTTTCCTAAAGACCCTCAGCATCAAACATCAAGCCTGGCAGGGTAGCAAGCCTCTGAGCGACCGGGAGAAGCTAAAAGCAGCTCTGCCCCGCAGCTTCGAAGCCATCAGCCCCTTACAGCAAAAGGATATCCAGAAGGTCAACGAGATGCGGAGTAGAATGGCTCAAAAGGGGCTGGCTGACCGCACCAATAAGGTACCGGTCAGGGGCACAGGGCAGCAGATCAAACGGTCCAGGAGTGATACCAACTTTAGCCCTGTGAGTTCTACACATCACTGATTTGCCATGCATTTACATCTGTCAACATTGCTCCCCTGTCTTCAATGAAAATGTGAACAGCCTCAGTCATGAATTTTTTTCCCTTGTCAGCCTTCTCTCTATGCCCACCATCGTCAGATGTCATTTTCAAAGATGTGTCCTTCTCTTTCTTGATGATTTCAGGTCAAGTCCCACCCTTCTAAGAAACCCATCCTATCACTCCCATCCCGTAAATTAAACAGAGACCAGGAAGCCATTCTCCATGCAGTGCTGAGTGGCAAGAATGTATTCTTTACCGGTAGTGCAGGTAAATGAAGAAAACACTTTTCCTTGCTATCTCCCACTAATCAGATATATATGATATATGAGTTAAGATAATTTGGTTTCATTTTGTTTTTCTTCAGGTACAGGCAAATCATTCTTGCTGAAGAGGATCATAGGATCTCTCCCACCAAAGAGCACCTTTGCAACAGCCAGCACGGGAGTGGCTGCATGTCACATTGGAGGAACAACATTACACACTTTTGCAGGTCAGTCATTATGCGTCTCTGGGCAAAAGAAACCATTTTCTCCCGCCAGTCTGATTTTAAATTGACAGCATATCATTTGTAGATTGACTCCCTGCCCAGGCACGCACACACCAACAGAAAACAGATTGTACAGATCATTTGTTAATTTTCAAGCGTTAACATGGACAGAAGCAGTCTTGCCAAATAAAGAGAAGCTGACGTAAATGTGCTAATCTGAACTATATTTGTTTTGTTTCCTTAGTGTGTTAATAAAAGCTTTGATTATAAATGCTATATGAAAGCAAGGTTGTCTTTGTGTTCACAGATGACTAATCAATATAAAAAAGAAATGCAAATATTTCATAAGAGGCTAGTTCAACACAACTTTTTTGTTTTTAGGGTTATATATGAAAACATTTGTAACGTAAACATTTTGCTTTTAAAGAATCATCATGTCTAAGGATTACATTTTTTTTTAAAAGGGTAATCAGTTTTTAAAAAAAAATTGCATTTTCTACCCTTGTCATCTCAGGTATTGGCTCAGGATCTGCCCCACTGGAGCAGTGTATTGAGCTGGCGCAGCGTCCTGGTGTACTGCGGCACTGGACCAGCTGTCGACATCTCATCATTGACGAGGTATCAATGGTGGAGGCCCAGTTTTTTGATAAACTCGAATCGGTAGCAAGGTAAGGAAATTACTAAGAGCTGGTGATCCCTCCTCTTACAAACACCACCAATGTACCTTTTCAAAAGGGGATGTTTGTTTATGTGGTTATTTAAAATGAAGCAAAAGCTGATTTAAGGCAAACCATTGAAGTTTCATTTACTGTTATCTCGTACCGTCTGAATGCTTAAGTCAATATCTTTGGGTTTATGTTCTCTCACCCTCAGAGACTTAGCAGTTTCTGTTAAGCCTTGTTGAAACTGAATTTAAAAGAAAGTTTAAAAAAAATTAAGATACTTTTTCTTGTCTACACTCAAAATAACACATTTGTTTGTTTGTTTTTTTGGCACGTTTTTCTTTATTTTGAATTTATGTTTTTTTATTTTTTATGATGCCTTAGTCAGAAGGGTTTTAACAAACTTTTGCAAGCATATTAGAAACCCTTGTATCTTTAATCCGAAATATTATTTGGATTGACTTTTCAAATTCATTTTTACTCTATTAAGGTCAGGGCACTCAAAATGCTTCCATGTATTTATACACGTTGTGAACTGCTTGGGCTGTTTTCTCAGTATGTTTATGTTGAATCAATTGAATCTTGTGGAAAGGGCAGATTTGCATATTTGAACTACTGCTGTCAGCTGTCTCATCAATAAACATCGTAACCCCATTGCATTATCTGCCACCCCATTGAAGGTTGAGGATTCGATCCATTTCAAGTCCTAACTTAAATTCCAAGTGTAGGATTATTTTGTTACAATATATTTGGTGGTGTAAAGATGCTGAAAGGGGAAATATCTTATCTTTCCTTTCTTTTGTTGTTTTTCTTGGAAATCCGTTTTTGGTAATGCAGTTTTTTTTTTTACATATTTCTATCATACTTTTTCTCATCACTACAAGGATGTTTTTTGCTGCTCAGGATAAGTTCAACAAAATGAATAGAGCTACCACATAATATCACAAACATTCTTTCTCTTTTTTTCCTACTTGTAATAGATTCTAGTTCAGAGTTGTCAGATTTTAAAGTTTTTCCTATGATTGTCACCTAATAAATTAAACAAAAAAACTTTTGACATTCAATATGTAAGGTGACAGTATTAAGGAGATTACGGTGTTCCCTTCTGGAGAATAATATATACCAATTACTCTCTCTGTGGTGAGACATTTTTAGATGTATGGCTGGTGCATTAAAGCTCCTACTCTTTACATCTTTAGTATGTAAAATTAATATTACAAAGGCAATATAATGAAGATTGTGATTGCTTAAGGTCATGATTATAACTGTAATGTTGGCAACATAGTTACAAATTATATCTCATTCACTTCTAGGTCAGTAAGGAGGTCTAATCAGCCATTTGGAGGCATCCAGCTTATCGTGTGTGGTGACTTTCTTCAACTGCCTCCAGTTTCCAAAGGGAAGGAAAAGGCTAGCTTCTGTTTTCAGGTCAGCTCATGTGTTTGTGTTTTGAATTTGGAGTCCTGAAAAGAATGTTTATATTCAGTAGGTGCAGATGTCTCATAAGTCCCGAATCTTTGTAACTGGATGCTTAAAAAAAGGGTTGTTAGTACAATTTAATGTATTCATTTTCACAGTAGCATCAATTGTCATTTGAATTTATGCATAATTGACATTCTATCTGAGTGGTCACATGCCCACTCCCTGCTTTGCTTTCTTCAAGAGCTCCTAATGGAACAATTGTAGTTTAGGGTGTCATCTGACTCCTGGTTTCTCTTGGTCACATGTCGGTGTCCTTGAGACGGTAAACCAAATGTTGCCTACCAACACCTACATCACTGTATGATGTAGAACAAAGCCGTGATTAACCTGAAAAAAAAACTAAACAAACTAAATGGACTAAGATGAGTGTGTATCGATGAATGTGGCATGTAGAAAGCACATAAGAGCACTTTAAGTGGTCAGCTATAGTGGAAAAGCACTAAATAAGTACACTCCATTTACGCTAATGGATGGTTATGGAATAACCCTGAACACTGTGAACCTTTAGGCGAGGAGTTGGCGAAAAGTCATTGAGGTAAACTTGGAGTTGATGGAAGTACGGAGGCAAACGGATCAGAATTTCATCTCCCTCCTCCAAGCAGTGAGGGTGGGGAGGTAAAAAGTTCTGCTTTTTTTCTTTTCTTGTTTCTTTTTTGCATATTAATGAGATTTATTTGATCCAATTGCATGCTCTCCCTCTGTATGTGTGTGTGTGTGTATGAGAGATTATACAGCTAAACTAGTTTTGTTTTTTGTTTTTCCATCCCTAGAAATTTGTTTGGCTTTAACTTGGTTTTCTAAGAATTGTTTTTCCTAATTAACACAATTCAGGGTGACAGAGGAAGTCACAGCCACGCTAATGAGAAGTGCCTACCATCAGATTGAGAAGGACGGGATTCTGGCCACCAGGCTTTGCACACACAAAGATGACGTTGAGCTCACAAATGAGAAGAAACTCCAACAGCTGCCAGGTGTGACTTCTGACGTATGATTTCCATTTCCACCCCCTAACTTCAAGTAGGTGTTGCTTAGTTTGATTTTTTTTGTTACCTGTACTTCAAGGTTACCTAACTGAAGTCGTTTTCCAAAATCTCTGCTGTAGTTGTTCGATACATGTAGTGTTTTATGTTAAATATGTAATGTTGTTTTTTTGTTTTTTTTAAGTATCCCCCCCCCCCCCCCCCCTCCCACACACACAATTTATTTGTTCATCTCACCAAATACCGGTTTTGAATTAACTACTGTAAAATGACCGTTTCTGTTATCTCAGGGTCAGTGCGTGTGTTTGAGGCACTGGACAGTGATCCAGAATTAGTGAAGACTATAGATGCTCACAGCCCAGTTAGCAGACTGATCCAGCTCAAAGTAGGAGCACAGGTATGACTTGGTGTACACATATTGTCCTTTGGATTCCTTTTGAGGTCCTTTTTCTTTTCTTTTTATCATTTTGCTTACTCATAAATTCTTACACTCCTTATGCCTTGTAATAAAACATTTGTGTTCTGATATACATCATGCTCTATGCTCTGCCTGAGCAAAGACTTGTTTTAAAATGTTTCTTCTTTACAGGTCATGCTGACAAAAAACCTGGATGTTGCTCAAGGACTGGTGAATGGAGCTCGAGGAGTGGTGGTTGCTTTTGAATCGGAAAAATGTGGTCAGTATCATTTTTGCTGTTGTGATGTTCCATCACTATCTGTTCCGAGGGGAAAAATAATTGAACAATTTATTCATGGACCCAAGAGAGGCCCGATAAAGGGATTGTTTGAAATTCAAGACGTGCCTTTGGTCAACAGAGGCCCAAGCTGCATATTTGTCTTACGGCCAGGCCTGTTCTAGATGATTCTGTCAATAATCAGTATAATCACTAGATTTTATTCTGTTCTTGGATGTTTTGTCTGTCAATATCCACTGAATTATTTTTCTTTGCATGTAATCTTGAATAGAAGTTGAAAAGATGACACGCAGCCTGTATCCATCGACATGCTGGATGACTTGCCCACTATATTTCTAGAGTCTGTGCTGAGCAGTTTGTCATTTAACTCCCACATCCTGTCAACATCTTCTTCAGACTGGAACATTTCCAAGGGTCTTAAAAACTGTTTGCCTTATTTTTAATATTACTTTAGATATCACTGGACAAAAGTTCTCTAAATACGCATTTTCTCTTTCAGCTTTCCAAAAACGTGTCAATTTAGATTTTTAATCAACCATATTCAGGTTCTCAGGAGTTAAAAAATAACAACTTATTCAAGAAATCGCAGGCAGTTTTTTTCATGAAATATTTCTTCATTTGGATATGTATGTATTGTGGATATGTATATATAACCTATTTTCCTTCCATATTCTTAGGATTTCCACGTGTGCGCTTTTCTTGTGGCATCACGGAGGTGATGAAGCCGGAGCGTTGGATAATTAAGTCCGGTGGTGGGATCCACTTGAGTCGACAGCAGCTACCACTCCAGCTGGCCTGGGCTATCTCCATTCACAAGAGTCAGGTAAGTACAGTAAGACTCATTATGTTGGCCACAAATCTCACTCTTTGCTCTTGCTCTTTTAACCCCATGTATGATTTAGTAGTTTCTCTTTAAATGAATAACTTCCAATGCCAGGTGAACACAATTTGCTCAGGTCTTCAGCAATTGGTATTGTTTTGATGGCTGTATTTGAAACGCCACAAAGACAGTCATTTGTGTAGTTTCATCACGTGTTTAAAGGCTGAATAATTTTTAAGTGGATTTAAAAAAAAAAAAGTAAATTATTTAATAGACTATTAAATTAGAGCCAGATCTTCCCAAGTGTGTATGGTTATTCTTGCTCAAATCATTCTCAAGACATTTTTGCTGTTCTGTATGTGAATTAATTCATAGAACTTCTCTTTTCTTTCTAAAAAACAAACAAAAGATAAAATGAAGAAAATAATAAAAACATTGTAGCAAAAACCAAATGGGCCTTGCAAATCATGTAAAGAAAAATAAAGAAAAGACAGTAAACCAAATGTGAAAGATCAGTAATGGTCCACAGCTTACCCTGATCATTTTAATGAATCGATTTTGGTTTAGATTGTTTGTTACACCTGCGACAGTCTGGGTTCCTGCTGACAGTTTTCAAATCATATAGTTGGGAGAATGTGCTCTCTCAGGCGTGACTAGGAGCTACAATTCTGTTGAAAAGGAAATTGAAATGGAGCAGTGCCCAAACACCAACAGCTTCAACACTGAAAGTGAATGCTACCTGTGAATAAGTTTCGATGGCCAATTCCTCAGAAGGCTCACCAGCAGCTCCACCTCTGCAGCAGCTTATTTATTATTTTCTGCTCAGATCTTGTAATAAAAAGCTGGACATTGTGGTTATCTGGTCACAGCTCTATCACAACACGGTGACAATTAGACATGCTTTGCATAATTGATCAATTTGAAACCCAAATTGAACTGACCAGCATGCTTATTAGACGGAGAAGAGAGAAGATCAATTATAATGCATTGTGGAAATGGTGGCTTTTCATTGGTTGTGAAAAAAAAATATATATATATATTTTCCCCACACTTTCAAGGGAATGACGCTAGACTGCGTTGAAATCTCTCTGGCTCGTGTATTCGAGTGTGGCCAGGCTTATGTGGCACTGTCCCGGGCACGGAGCCTGGAGGGTTTGAGGGTCATGGATTTTGACCCTCGTGTGGTTCGAGCAGATCCAGATGTTCTCCTCTTCTACAAAAAACTCAGAAAAGAAAGGATGCTCATGCAGGTGAGTTGGGCTTTTTTTGGTTTGTTTTTGTTTGTTTCGTATTACGGTAACCTGAGGGTGCAAGGGATTTATGAGTCATTGTTCTATTCATTCAGTTATATAATCTAGTTTATTATACTTTCTTTCATGAATTATAACAATATGTTGTAAAGACTTCAAATGAAAGTTGTGTTTAGAGCCTTCAGAGGATAGGATTCTCAAAACCGTATTGTGTTGTAAATTATCATCCCCGGTCTTCCATTATTCTCTGAAGGCCTCCATGGACGACTTTGTCAGCAATCACTGCAAGGAAAATGCTCGATTATAACAAGCACGTCTGATGTGGACGCCCCTGCACATTTTCAAAATGTGTGCACCCTGTGCACGGGTTATGCTTTTATTTGGGTTTGACAGTTTCCTTGAGACTAAAACCACAGCCCTTGCGATATTATATTTTGGGTCACACTGCCACCATCTGTTCAATACTGACCTTTGTTTTTTAAAGCTCACTTTCATCATGCTTTGTTTTTAATTTATTTATCATTATTGCACTTGCTCAAATAAATTTTTATCGAACACTTAACGGTGAAACATTTTATCATTGCTTATTGTATCAATAAAGATTCAAAACCAACCAGATTTTTTTTTTTTTTAACAAAGACTTTATTTTATCAGATCAATATTCAAAATCAATGAATAATACAATAAGTCAGAAACAGCAGTTTCCAATACCACCATACAAACAGTTGAACAACAACAACCAAATAAGTCGGTGAGCTGAAAATCCAGAATTTTTTACATGGGGGGATGAAATAGAGGAAAAATCTTTCTCGATTGACTATTGTCTTTATCATAACAGAGATATATGTTAAGTCTACCTATAAAATGTGTACCTGTGTGTTACTTACTACAATATTGACTGGAGATATTTCTTCAGAGGGTTCCATCTTTTCTCAAATAAACCAGTGGACAAGTTCAATTTTGCTGTTATTTTCTCCATCGTATAAACATTCACTAGTTTCTCTTTCCATTGATTTACAGTAGGGGGTAAAGGTTTATACCAACCTATTGTTATCATTTTTTTGGCTACGAGAACGAGGATACCAAATAAGTATTGTTCTTCTTTACTTAAATTATTTGGGGGAACTCCCAGAACAAAGATCCGGGGGTTCCACTCAATATGAGTGTGCAAGATATTTGAAATTCCCTCTCTAATTCCCTCCCAAAATTTCGTAATCTTTGGGCAATCCCAAAAGACATGAGTGTGATCCCCGATTAGTCCGCAGTGTCTCCAGCACAGATTTGATTTAGTTTGATCATATTTGGAAACAATAAATGGAGTTTTGAAATATCTAACGATTATTTTCCAGTAAAATTCTTTCCATGATGGACTGTTAGTCAGTTTATGTCCAGTTACGCATACTTGCTCCCATTCTTCATCTTCAATCACAACATTCATTTCTAGTTCCCATCTTTCCTTTATCCCGGGGGATCCCTTCAACAGACATGATTGTAAGCATTTGTATAAATTTGACACAGTATTATTAGATTTTCTTTCCTTGGTAATCTTTATGAAGAATAATTCTAAATCAGTAGGTCTTGTCTGAAGAAGGGACCATTCGGTGTGGGACATCAGGTAACTTCTCAATTGTAAATATCTATAAAAATCAGATTTGCTCAACCTGTACTTCTCCTTAATCTGGTTAAAAGATTTCAGAATCTCCCCTTCAAACAAGTCATCAATAACCATTAAATTCTTGCTTTGCCAGGTTTGAAATCCCGGATCTTGTTGCCCTGGTTTAAAGTCTATTATATCCAAAATTTTTGTAGCTCTAGACATAGATTTAGGAGCTTTCAGATTTTTTCTAATCATGTTTATAGTCCTTTGAGTGCTTTTCATCCATATATTTGTAATTTTGTACTTGTTCCAGACTTCAGTCGAGCAGAATACAAGGGCCTGTAAAGAAAGTTTAGGGCTTGCGCTTTGTTCCAATGTCAGCCATGTTGTTTCTTTATTCTGTATTAGCCAACTTACACTTGCATGTAGTTGTGCAGCCCAGTAATATAATTTTAAGTTTGGCACATTAAGACCTCCATAAGGTTTACCACTGGTCAACTGAGTAAGTTTTATTCTGGCCTTTCTTTTCTGCCAGATAAAAGTTTAAATCATTTTTTGCATTTTATTTAGTTCTGTTGTTGGAACCCAAATA